CCTCCAACATGACACCCACAGACCCCCAGCTTCCACCACACCTCCAACATGACACCCACAGCCCCCCAGCTTCCACCACACCTCCAACATGACACCCACAGCCCCCCAGCTTCCACCACACCTCCAACATGACACCCACAGACCCCCAACATCCACCACACCTCCAATATGATACCCACAGCCCCCCAGCTTCCACCACACCTCCAATGTGACACCCACAGCCCCCCAGCTTCCACCACACCTCCAACATGACACCCACAGCCCCACCCAGCATCAACCAAAGCTCCAACATGACACCCACAGTCTTTCAACATCCACCACACCTCCAAGATGATGCAGCCCCCAACACCCCCCAGGCCCAATGGCCCCATAATGCAGATCCCCATCATGTCTCATTTCCATTCTGCCCAGAATGTTCCATGAAGTTCTGCTGAGCCTAGAGTTGCCCTAAGCCTTGTCCACACTATCCCAGGCTGGTGGAGTGGGGTGGGCTGTTGCACCTCATTTCCCTCACGAGCCTGCTCTGATCCCCGCCCCCCACCTCCAGCTGATCCGGGACTGTAACAGTAACGCACAGAGGATGCGCAGGACGGAAGAGCTCATCTACCTCAGCCAGAGAATCGCCTTTGAGTGCAGAGTGAGTGCACAGGCCGCCCCGTGATCACCCCATCCCTGAACCACCCCCATCCTGACACCATACCTTCTGGGGACTCACCCCCTCCTGAGATCACCCCCCATCCTGTGAACACACCTCCCAGGACTCACCCCATCCTGAGGTCACTGCCTCCTGGGATTCATCCCATGCCGTGAGCACCTTGTGTTCCGCTATCACTGGTCAGCACACACTTGCTGTCACTAGCAGCGGTGTCAACCTCCATCCCAGAGCCGCTGCTGTTGGGGCACTTCAACATCACAGGGACCCTAGAGGGCAGACTAGACTAGACCTGCTCCACAGGGTTTCCGAGGAGGCTGGACATCTGCACAGGAGCAGACAGCCTCACCTCTGTTTCCTGGAGCAGCTGGTGGCTTAGAACCACCAGCCTTGTGGTTAGCAGCCCAGTGCTCGCTTGCCCCAGTGCAGCAGCAGGGCTCCTTTGTCTGCCTCTGGATCACCCACCCATATGCCCACTCCTGCCTCCAGGGAGCTCTACTGACTGCAGAAAGGATGGCAAAGGGCTGGGTAACTGTCCGAGCCCCTAGCAAACCTCAGGCCAGTGCTGGTCAGCGTGGTCATCAGGAAGCTGGGGAGGCCCTGTGAGAAAGGACAGGGCAACCCCAGGGCTGTGGCTATGGGTGGGAAGAGATGAAGGACCCTACCCCCCTTGGTGCCATGCACCATTTTGTTCAAGTCACTGTCCCAAGCAAAGCACAACCGAACACGGAGCCCAGCAGGGAGCCAGACTGGTCTCCCTGCTCCAGGTCCTGCTCAGAGCAAAGAGCGAAGCCCGAACGCAGCTCCCCAGAACCCGCTCCTTGTGCTCACGCACCTGGGGGTCCACAATGTTCATCCACTTAGCTCCGAAGACACAGGTCACATGCTCCCCTCTCACCCATGCCCCTGACCCCACATGGCCCCTGTCCCAGGATGCACCACAGGGCCACCCCGTTTGCCTGGCCGGTGGCCCTCACACATAGAGGACAGTGGGGAAGAGGGCCTCCTGAGCGGGAGGGGTGGATGAGGAGGTGGCCAGCATGGGCCCCTCTGTAACCCTTCCTACCTCTCCCCGCCCCCAGATCTTCCCTCTGATCTCCCAGTCCCGTTGGCTGGTGAAGAGTGGGGAGCTGACAGCCCTCGACTTTGGCATGACCCCAGGGCCACGGAGGAAGCTGAACACGCGACCCATCCACCTGCACCTCTTCAATGACTGCCTACTGCTGTCCAGGCCTCGAGAGTCAGTGATGCGGGGGACTGGGGGTGGGTGGGGCGAAGGGTGCAGAGGCCAGGGCCCCAGATATAGGAAGCCCAATGAGAAAGGTGGTCCCCCTCGGAGCATGGATTCCGTGTTTTAGGCCCAGACGCCTCAGATTCCTGTACCTCAGCTCAGATAGTCACCAGGGCCCAGGGCTGGCTCAGGCCACCAGCCTGGCCTCTCAGGCAGCCCTTAGAGATGCTGTCAGGTTGGTGCTAGTCCCCCATGCACATGTGTTCCACTGTGGTGAGGTCGAGGATCAGCCAGATCCCAGGAGGCATGTGTCCCCATGTGGTGAGACCCAGGTCCATCAGATGCACGTGTGTACATGTGTCCCTGAGTGGTGAGACCCAGGGTCAAGCAGACCCCATGCATGTCGCGAGGCCTGCCTGATGAGGGCTGCCCAGGACACAGAAAGCTGTGTCACTGTGAAGCACGTATTCACATGGGGACAGAGTTTGAACTCTCGTGCGTGTGGCCGAGATGGACCCAGAAAAGGGAGTATGCATACCCAGTCCCTGGCCTCCCGTTTGTGGGGCCAGGGCCGCGGAGTGCAGAAAAGGCAAGGCTGGCACCACTCCAGGCTCTGGCCCTCAGCTCTAAAGCAGATGAGGGCAGGATCTGGACTCGAACTCAGATCACCAGACCCTTCTCTGGGTGGGCTAGAACTGCTAACTCCATGGTCAGCACCACCGGGGCACCTTGGAGAGACCATGGGGCTGCTATGGCCTGAGCTCCTGGCCCTGTGGGTGCCCCTCCCTCGGCTCACGTGGGGACCGAGTGCACAGGCACTGTGGGTGCAGAGGTGTGGGGTGGGCTCGGGGTCCAGGGCTGATGAGAGCACCTGTCCTTGCAGGGGCGGCCGGTTCCTGGTATTCGATCATGCGCCCTTCTCCGAGGTCCGAGGGGAGAAGTGTGAAATGAAGCTGCACGGTGCACACAAGAATCTCTTCCGGCTCTTCCTGCGCCATGGCTCACAGGGTGCCCAGGGCCCCCAGGCCGAGTTCCTCTTCAGCACCGAGACCCAGTGAGAGGGGACGCTGGGTGGAGCATGGGCACTGGGGTGGGTGGGGAGCCTGGCAGAGGCCAGATTCTGGGCCCAGGGCACTGGACACTCCAGCCCCAAGATGAGGCCCCCACGGAAAGGATCAACCCCAAGACGAGGCATGGCCAGTGCACCCCAGGGAGTCACCATAGAGAGACCAGAGTTAAGACCTGGCATGGCTGCTTCCCGGTGAGGATTTGGCGGGGCTGCTGGAGCTGGTGCCCTGTAGGTGTAGGGCTGAGGTGGGGTGAGAGGCATCTACAGGGTGTGTGGGGAGCAGATGCTCACACACACAGGATGATTGCCAGGTTACCCTGAGATGTCACTGTGTGTAGCTGGGTCCCAGATCTAATCCAGATGGCAGTGGGCGCTGAGCACCCGTTCCAGTGCCTCGGGGGTGTCTAAGTATAGACGCGAGCCTTGTACCCCACCCACTCCCCCACCGGGGGTGAGCTCTGCCTGTGGGTCCCTGACAACCGGCCGTCCTTCCACATGGGGTCAGTGTGCAGAGTGGCCAGCAGGAGCCTGGGAGAGAGAAGCGGAGACTCACAGCCACCCAGAGCTCAAGGGGTGAAGGGATCGGCATGTTTTAGCTGCAGCCCAACACTAGGGCTGGTGACCCCACTGGGGGTCCTTGGGGTCAGAGCTGGTTCTCCAGTCTCTTCTTCCAGTCACCTACGGGGGACGCCACTTTTAACCTGATCAGCGGTGTCCGTGTATTCCCTCTGCATGCCCTGCCCACTCCTCTACGGATGTGGAAGTGGATGGCAGTGCTCATCTGAGCCATGGAATCATAGTTTTCTTTAAAATATACAAGCAGCAAAGTCAGGGCTGGGTCGTTCTCTCCAAACAGCAGATGACCAGAGCTCAGCCTTGTCACCCTTCTGAGCAAGCCCCACGTCCCTGGCCTGGACACGGGCCCGGCCCTGTCTCACTGGACTCTTGTGTTCCAGGAGTGAGAAGCTGCGGTGGATCTCGGCCCTGGCCTCGCCGCGAGAGGAGCTGGACCTGCTGGAGTGTCACGGTGAGTGAGGGACCGGGCCGGCTCCACACAGGTCCTGGCACTCACAGGGTTCCCATCTCCGTCTCCATGGCCATGCCACCCTGCTCTGCTGACTGCCTCCTCACGGGTCCTTGAACCGAGGCCCCTGAGGTTGGCCGCGCTTCTGCCTGGTCTTGGCAGAAGGTTGGGGTTCAAACCCTCCCGGTGACGTAGAACGGCCAGGCTATCCAACCCCATAACTGTGACAACCAAGACACTTGCCCCTGGCCAGGGGTCAGGCGGCTGGGGTTCTGATCTTCCTGTGCCCGAGTTGTTGGCACAGGAAGAGAAGAGGCCTTTGACCGCCGGGGTTGGCAAAGGCCACTGAAAGCCCCGCAGGCTGACAGACGGGACTGACCTCTGTCTGGGGAGAAGTGCAGCCAGCGTGCTCTCCAGAGGCCAGGATGGTGCGCCCTGGTCTCCCGTGCTTCGGACGTGTTGTCAGGAGACACCGGTCCCTGGAGAAGGTCAACGTGCTTTGTCAAATAAAGGGACAGAGACAAGGAGGAGGACCTTCGACGAGACGGACTGACCCAGCGGCTACCATGGGCTCAAACAGAAGGATGGTGGTGAGGGCGGCCCACGAAGAGCGCTATGGGCCAGGGCCGGCTCAGCGGCACCCAACGGCAACAACTACCAGGGGCACAGGAAGTGCCCTAGCTCCCTCCTGGGCAGGAGACCGTTAGGTCCCAGGCCGCAGGCATGCAGGGCAGCGACTGTGCCTGGGCCTGTGTGCTCCCCAGAAGGTATCTCCCAGCCACAGCCTTCAGCCTGGAGGTCTCGGGGCAGTGCTCCAGGGGACACTGACCCAGCCTTGGGCTGAGTTCATAAAGATTCCCGAGGGTGAGGATGGACGGATGGCATCCTTCCCTTTCAAGCTGCCCGTGGGCGGCAGATGGACAAGTTGCTAATGAGGGGATTTCCTAGGGAGCCAGCCCAGGGCTGCAGTGGGAAGGAGGTGGCCCAGGGTTCCCGAGCTGCAGCTGCTGGTGCAGGCTCCCTGCTGAGGAGGAGCCAGGAGCACCAGGCCCAGGCAGGGCAGGGCTGACTGGCCCCAGGGGATAGGCACTGGGCCAGGCGACTTGTGCCCGACAGTCCAGCCGTGTGGGGAGCCAGCGTCACGTCAGCAGCACTGGACATGGGCTCAGAGGGCAGCCTGCCCAGGAAACTCCTACACTGAGCCTATGGCAATGCTGGACCGTTCACGTCCAGGGGAGGGGAGATTTCCCAAATGCTGCTCATTGCTCACAAGTCTCCCACCCGAGCCCCAGCCACTCCCAACCTGCGCCATCCTCTCCCCCAGACTCCCCCCAGGTGCAGTGTCTGCGCACCTACAAGGCCCGGGAGAACGATGAGCTGGCGCTGGAGAAGGCCGACGTGGTGATGGTGACGCAGCAGAGCAGTGATGGTGAGGGGGCACGGGACAGGAACAGTGACGGTTTGAGGGCACAGGCAGGGCCAGTCTCAGGCAGGAAAGGACAGGGGCAGTGATGGCTCAGGGGGGCAAGTGGGGACAGGGCAGTGATAGTGAGGGACTCAGGGGCAGGGCTGGGCCCCGGGGGCGGGTAGGGTGGTAGAGAGCACAGATAGAAGGGCTGGGGTGACAGCAGGCATGAGGGTGCAGTAGGCTCTGTGAGGGCGGACCAGGCATGGGCAGTGGAGAGGACCAGGTCCAGTGGTGTGGGCAGAACACTGGGGAGGGCCCGGCAAGGCAGTACAAGCAGGAAAGATGGGAGGTGTGGATGGACGTGGCTAGCCCCAAAGGCCTTGCTCAGAGGTTGGACGTTGGACCCCACCCCACCCCCATACACACACCTTGGGTTTCAGAGACCCAGGTGGCCTCACCCTGCTACTCCGCTCTTCACCCACAGGCTGGCTGGAGGGTGTCCGGCTGTCAGACGGGGAGCGGGGCTGGTTCCCACTGAAGCAGGTTGACTTCATCCGGAGCCCCGAGGTCCGAGCCCGGAACCTGCAGGAAGCACATCGAGTCAAGATTGCCCGGCTGCAGCTGGTGGAGTAGACCTAATGTGGCAGTCAGTGCCCAGATCCAGCGTACCAGGCCTGCCTCTCCTGGCCCAACCAGCCCACCAGCCTGCCACCTCTCTGTGCCCGTACCTCGCCTGCCAGACCCTGCCACACCTAGTGTGCCGGCATGCCTGGGGTGGTCAGTGCCCAGACCCAGGCTGCCAGGCCACCTCCTCTCTTTGCCGGGTTCCATCCTGCCAGGTCTTGCTACTCTGTGCCTGTACCCCACCTGCCTCTCTGTGCCCAGTGCTGGGAACTTTACATGGGACTCCGGGACCCCTTATGGCAGGAAATGGACTGGGGAGGGGTGCTGAACTGAGGAAGGGCTCCTCTACTGTCCTCGCTGTACTGAAGGGACGGTGTCTTCCCCAAAGCGTGGGGATAGCTGTGTGTGGGATGTGGTCTGACCTCAAGCTGAGAGGTGAGGGCATCTGTAATAGTCTGTGTGTGGTTGGAGCTCTTAGCGGGGGTACAGGGTTGCCTTGTCCTAAGAAATATGGCACTTCTGTGTGTGCTTCCTTCTGACCCCACAGCCCTGAGTGGGAGCAGCCCCTGGGCCCTCTGAGCTCCGGGCTCTGGAGGTCTGGCTTTGAATCCTGAGCATTGGAGCAGCATCTCCCTGCACTGTGGCCTCAGGGCCTGTGGGTCTTTTCTCTCCAGGCTGAGCCCAGGCGACCACCAAGGCCCCACTGAGCTCCAAGGGCAGCCTCGCCGTAGGGACAGGCTCTAGGCCCTCCTCACCGCCCAGCCGTGGGCTCCCACCAACCTGCATTAGAAACTGCCCTGGTGGTCAGAAAGACTCCCACACCTGCTGTCCCCTTGGGTGTCTGTCAATCGCTGCACTCCCTGAGGGTCCCGGGGACTGGGGTTGCTGATGTAGCTCACTAAAGTGCCTGTGAGAAGGCTTGAACTTCCCACCCTTGGGTTGACAGCAAGCTTCAGCTGTCACCCGGGTACCCAGTGTTCCATGGCTCTGGGCGAGGGCATGTCCCTGGATGCCCGCTGCAGGGGAGGGGGTTCCTGGATGTGGCACTTTTGTCCAGAGTGTGGTAACTCCCACCCAGTCACACAAATGAGCTGCAGAGAACTGGGCCAACTGGGCCACTGGGTCATTCCACTGGGCATCAAATGAGCCATCAGAGAAGCGGGGACAGAGGCTGCCACAGCCATCAGGAGAGAAGGGCCAGGAGTCTGAGAGTCCTGAGTGCTGGATGGACATGGTGGTGGCCCTGGAGGCCACAGCATGGGGGCTGTGGGGCGGGGCAGTGGCAGGAGTAGTAAGGCCCATGACCTTTGGGCGGCAGACTGCCTCTCAGAACAGGCCTCCCTTTGGACATCTGTCCTTTGGAAAGGGGGCTTTGGGACACTGGCTTGAGCAAGGGGGAGGCGGAGGACTGTGCTTCCAAGAGGCAGGGTCCCACAGAGAGATGTGGCTGCCAGCGCGGCGGAGAAGAGATGCCGCAGACAGAAGCTCTGTGCTTATTGTTGTTCGATCCTGACTTGTAACCTGTTAACTCGCCCGAATAAACGCCGTGCGCATGAGAACTGCCCGTGAGTCCTGCGTGGCCATTCCCGTAGAGACTGAACCCAGCAGAGAAGTCAGGTGTAGTGGGAGGGACGGTTGGCGTCAGGGTACAGGAGGGAGGGGGCAAGCCTGACCCTCGCCTCCTGGGCCTCGTCCTTGGGAAATGAGGACGTGGCATTTCCTTGTCCCGTGTACAGCTGGAGGAGGCTGGACATGAGTGTGTTTAGAAAAAGAGGCAGATGTCAGAGCACAGATTCCTGGGTGGATGAGTCCGTCCGAGCAGCCGGGCGAGGTGGAGAAGAACGCAGCATCGGGATTGAAAGACGACTTGTGAACCCTGGGGGTGCACCGGACACCACCTGGTTCCTGAAAGCCAGGAGGACCCGAAGCCCTTGCCGAGGACAGAAGACCCTCGTGTGGATCACGACTCAGTGCAAGAAGGCCAAGTTCCTCCCTGCTCGCCAGAGACTGTTTCCCGGTCATGTACGCCTTAGCATTCTCTCCTCACGGGGCCTTTGCCAGCAGAGGGTCCATCTGAATGCGGTCCCCTGGCCCTCACGCAACTCTCCGTCCCTCACTGTCATCCAGTCAATACCGACTCTCATCCCCCACAGGACGTGAAGCGTGAGCAGTCTCAGAAACCCACAGGGACAGTCCTTCCCTGTCCTCCAGGGGTCGCTCTGCTGGGAATTGACTCAGTGACAGTGGGTTTGGTTTTGATTCTCACCCAAGGACGGAGCCGCCCTGGGTGTTTCTGAGACGGTCACGCTTTACCGGCGTGAAGGTGGAGTGGGGGTGAAGGTGGAGAAAGCACAAAAGCCCAGAAGACCTGGGACAGGCTGGTCTAGGGTTTTATTCTCCAACACCAAACGCAATGTCATCCAGTTGATTCCAACTCACCGCGACCCTGAGACAGGGTAGAATTGCCCCTGGATTTCGGAGACTAACTCTTTAGGGGAGTAGAAAGCCTCCTCCTTCTCCTGTGTAGAAGCTGGTGGTTTCGAAATGCTGGCCTTTCGGATCACTTCCCAATGCATAAGTGCTATGCCACCAGGGCCCACACAACAGGAACCAGGCTGTCTGTCAAACTGGACAACCACGGGTCAGCCCATGACCGTCTCCCGCTCACGCTGCTCTTACGAGAACTCAACGTGGAACTATGGTGCAGTTTCCTGCAAGGGTTGAGGCTAAGCCTATCAACTTCGTCGGATGGCAAACTGGAATGCTGTGACAAGAGCATCTAATTGCTTGTGTGTGTGTGTCTTCTGCACAAGGCCTCTGTAAAAGGAAGGGTGTTACTCTGAGGATGAAGGTGTACCTGACCCAACCCTGGTATTGTCCATCTCCTTCTCTTAGGCATGTGAAAGTTGGACACTGAATAAGGAAGACCACAATGCTTTTGAATTGTGGTGCCAGGAGTGAATATTGAAAGTACCACGGACTACCCAGAGAACAAATAGATAAATCTTGGATGAAGTATGGCCATAAAGATTCTTGGCAATGAGCATGGTGAGACTTCATACCACAAACTTTGGACAGGTTGTCGAGAGGGTACCAGGCCCTGGAAAAGGACGTCATGCCGGCAAAGTGGAGTATCGGGACAGAAGAGGAAGGCCCTTGGCGAGATGCAGTGACACGGTGGCTGCAACGCGGGGCAGCCATGCAACGTGAGAGCAGTCGTGAGGATGGTGAGGGACCGTGAGGTGCTCCATTCTGCTGTCTGTGGGGTGGCCGTGAGTCGGAATCAACTCGATGGCCCCTAATGACAGCCTCCGTGATTAAGACGGGCGTAAAGGACTGCTAGGACTCGGGACGGACTGACTGACAGTGGGTTTGGTTTGAGTTTGTAATACTCCTTCGCGGGCTGGTGCTGCTAAACTATCTGTGGTTCAGAGGCACCTAACGCAATCAGCATGCCAACTGCCTCCGTTTCCTGCACAGACTGGCTGGTGGCCGTAGTGTTCCAGACCCAGCGCTTATCCACCTCGCGCGCTCGGAGGCTGCGCACCACGGAGATGCTGGTCGTTGGGTGCTGTTGCACCAGCTTTGACCCAGAGGGACCTTGGTACAGCAGAAGGAAGTGACCTTCACAGTCATTCCTGTGTTTGAGTCCATTGTTGCAGCCACGGAATCCGTCCATCTCACGGGGGTCTTCCTCCTTTATGATGACCCTCTACTTCACCAAACATGCCCTTCTCTAAAGACGGGTTCCTCCTGATAACTGGTCCAGAGTACTTGAGATGAAGCCCCCCTATCGTCAGTTCTAAGGGGGCTTCTGACTTCTTCTAAGACAGATAGTGCTGGACGTTCTGGCAGTCCACGGGGTAGCCCACGTTCTCCACCCGCACCGTCGTCAGAGAAAGGCATCACCTCTCCTCCAGTCTCCCTGATGCATTGCCTGGCGTGTGCACGAATAGGAAGCCATTGAAAATACCGTGGCCGGCACCAGGAACACGGGAGGTGCCAAAGTGACGCCTTTGCTCTTGAACCCAATGGAGACATTGAAGACGACTTTTGCAGCAGGTGTGCCTGATGCAATACTCCATTTGATCGTCTGGCTGTTGTTGCCATGGAAACCCATTGTGGGTCCGAGTAAAATGCAACCCTTGGGAACGTAAGCATTTTCTCCATTTTTCAGGCTGTGGCATATGGGTGCAGTTGTGAGGGCTTTTGTTGACTCAGTGTTGAGTTGTAATCCCCACGCTGGGCTGTCATCTTTGATTTTTCCGCGGCCATGTGTGTGTGTGTGTGTGTGTGTGTGTGTGTGTGTGATCTTCTTGTGCGTACGTGAGGTGGTGGACCAGCCCTCTTCCGATGCTGATGCCACTTGCTCCTGCCTCGAGTCCGGTTTCTGGAGTCATTTGCCCAGCACGTAGATTCAATGAGGGCGGTGTCAGGATGCAGCCCCGACGCACCGCTCCTGACTTTAAACCATGTTGCATCCCCTTAAGCAGCCTTGATGGCACAGTGGTCACTCGTTGGGCTGCTAACCACAAGGTCAGCAGTTTGAGACCACCAGCCACTCTGCAGGAGAAAGAGGAGGCTGTCTACTCCCATAAGGAGGCACAGTCTCAAACCCACGGGGGCAGTTCAACCTGCTCTGCAGGGTCACCCTGAGTCAAAATCCGCCCAATGACAGTGAGGTCTGTTTGTTTTTAAGTAGTCCCTTGCTCTGCTCCGATGACGGGCTCTGGGTCGGGACGCAGGTTCCGGAGGAGCACAAAGCCGTGTTCTGGAATTCCCAGTCCTCTCCCGGCCATCCACGGTGCCTTACGAGCAAGTGGCGCGATGCCTTTGCAAGCCCATCGTTTCACAGGAGTGAACTTCCTTCTCCCGTCCGTCCGTCCGTCTCCGCCAAGACCCGCTCGACACCTGTGGGCATTGTCTCCTCCTCTGGCAGCTCCCGTCGGCGTGCTGCTGCGACCGTGCTTGACCATCTTCAGCGTCATGTCCCTGTCATCTAGCACTGCTGATACTGCCTGCTCCTGACTGCGTTGTCTGTGTTCATCTGGGTCGGCGAGAGAAGCAGATTCATTGACGCTCACGTAGGTGTCCGAAAGAGCTTTATATCAAGGACTAATTGTATATTGAGAAAATGCCCCAGCCCAGGCCATAGCAAGTCTATAAGTCCTGTATTAGCCCGTATGTCCGATACTAGTCTGTGAATTACTCCTCAGACTCACGCAGCTATGGAACGATGCTGCATGCAGGAAGATCACAGGCTGGTGGGTGGTGGAAGCATCTTAGCACTGGCCCGGGTCTCCCCGCAGCTCCTCCAGCTCTCCGAATGTCTCAAGAACAGGAAAGTGAAACAGAGAGAGAGAGAAAGTTCCCAGAATCCTCAGGAGAAGGCCACGCCCACAAGGAGGCATCATCAAGCTGTGGCCTGATTGACAGGCAAGACTCCATCCCTACACTTTTTCATCAAGTTGACAGGAAACTATGTAACTGCCACCCTGTCTGATCCCCTCTCTCTGGGCACAAATGTGGATCTCGTCTGGTCAGCAGGGATCCAGGGTGTCCCTCACATGTAGGGTTGACGACCCATGCCCATGGGGGTGCACTTCAGCAGTAACACATCCCTCGTTTTTTCTCCCCCAGGTATGAGAAAGCATGCATTTTGTTCCCCTGTAGCCTTTAGGATAGAAGTTGTCTCGAGTTCTTGGGTCTAAATAGGTGACCCTCCTGTCCTAGCTCAAAGGAGCCCTGCGGTGCAGTGGTTACGAGTGGGGCTGCTAACCACAAGGTCAGCAGCTCAAAACCACCAGCTGCTTGGTGGGAGAAAGAGGAGGCTGTCTACTCCCATCAAGATTGCACAGCCTGTTGCTGGAACCGTGTATGGATTGTCCGGGTTTCGTGTGTGTGTCAAATGACTGGAGAGTCTGTATCAGAAATCTGGGCTTTGGGTATGAAATAAGCAGATTTTTAGGTAATATGCTTTTCTTTTAATTCAACGACAACAAAGAGTTAACAGTCTCAGAACCCCACAGAGACAGTTCCACCCTGTCCTCTAGGGTCACTATGCCTGGGAATCGACTCAGGGGCAGTGTGTTTGATTTTGATCCGCACTCATGCAGCCTTGGGGTGCTGTCTAGTAAGCGTTGGACTGCCCACTGCAGGGTCAGCAGTTCAAACTCTGGCTGCTCTGAGGGAGAAAGATGAGGCTGTCTGCTCCTGTAAGGGCTTACAGACTGAAGGCCTAAAGGGGAACGTACGAGGCTCCATGGCTTCTAGCTCACACACTTTATAGGGGCTTGATTCCTGGGGAAATCCTATGATCTTTTTATTCCACCACCATCCCCCCCCACCCAAAAAAACCACACAAACAACTTTAGGAAGCCCCCACACACTGATTAATCTCTGGAGTAAATCCAAACCTCTTCTCAGCCTCTCCCGGCTCCCCACTGCCGCCTGGACTTCTGTCCTCTGAGTAAACACCATACCCGGGCTTGATCCCTTTGTGGCCAGTGGCCTCAGAGTCACGTCACTTGCAGACGTGACTCAAGAGCTCACAGTGGTGCCCAG